GCCAAAGATTAGGCTCTGTGCTCTGGGGGAGGTGACTGCTTTGCCCTCCTCATCCTGGTCATGTCACTGCCCAAAGACTTCCCCCTCTTTCCCCCCAAACCTACACCTGCCCCTGCAATTGCACTCAGGCTCGGAGTGCCATTAGCGTCTTGCACTGTGGCGGTATGTACTTCCTGTGGTATTACATACTGCAAGGACTGTCCAAAGATAGTGATGATGACTGCCTTATTGCTTCCTTAAAAGAATGAACCCAAACCATCCCAGAAACATTAACAGCTTTCATGTCTTCTAAAAACTTCCAGACAAGAAGATTCCATAATTTCCTTGTTGGCATCTGTGCTTGGCAGTACTTTATTGCACCCTGTGGTTAAGACTTAACAACAAATGCCTTTTCTTTAGAATCCTTCTGGGTCAGCTTTGCTTCTTGTTTAGCACTGAAAAGTGAGATTTGCCCCAAAATGTTGAGAGAGGGAAAGGATGCAAAAGATAGATAGTGTAAAGCAGCGGAAGTCTGAAATACATTTATACCTAAAAAATGTTAAGGTCCACCTGCAAGGGCCATACTTAGTCCCACTCTACAGCCAACTGTCTGCTCAAACCCTTCCCCTACTCTAGAGGGTGAAAGGACACAGGAAACAAGGCAAAGAAGAGGGGTGGGGATTTGGCAAGACCCTTCTGACAGCAGCTCTTTCCCTGGCGTTCTGCGAGGAGCCAAGCAGCCTCATGAGAGTGGGGCCGATGCACAAATCACTGTGGGCTGCACATCTTCTAAGGAAGCACATCCCATTCCTGTCCTCTGTCCTCGACACACTGTAAGACTGAAGTTCACGATCATGATGTCACTTCCAACATGGCTGGCATCCAGCCCGAGATGGTCTCCATGACGACAGCAAGGAGGTGTTTGCTGAGCCATCTTTAATCCTAATGAGCAGTGGAAGAGCGGCCCTGCGGTGCTTGGTATATCAACCACTTTATCTCTTAGCAAAAAACATATTTACTAATTATAAATTAAATGATCTGTTTTACTATGTAATGGAAGTAGTGAGTACAACGGCTTATCTCCTACTATTTGCTGACACACACATCTGGGTGTGTGTTTTTATAATTTGTATTTCAAAATATTAGGGGGTGTAAGTATTCTTGTTACATGGATGAACTGTATTAACATTAATGCTGAAGTCAGGGCTTTTAGTGTGCCTGTCACCAAAATAGTGTATGCTGACTGTACCCAATAGGTAAGTTTTTATCCCACCTCCCCCTTCTTGGTTTTGAATGTCTTTTATATCCCTTTGTGTTCGCGTGGACCCATTGTGCGTACTCATTGTTTAGCTCCCATTTGTAGTGAGGACGTGTGGTGCTTGTTTTTCCCTTCCTGAGATACTTCACTTAGGTAATGGTCTCCAGTTCCATGCAAGTTGCTGCAAATGAAATTATTTCATTCCTTCTTATGGCTGAGTAGTACTCCATGGTGTGTGTGTGTGTGTGTGTGTGTGTGTGTATATACACTGGGTGTTTTTCAATGGGGAGCCAATACTCAAGTCCTAGAAATCCTAGGGACTGTCATTCTATTTTAGAAAAGAAAAAGCAAGATGATTCAATTATTCCCTGATTTCTAGAAGGAGTTCTCTATTTTCTGTCTCTCCTTTTAGTTTTAGAAGCTATGCTGGCTCTGGGAGTGGCTCTAATTCGCTGGTAATGGCATTGCCCAGAGAAGTCAGGATTCCGGGGTAGCTGCATGACTGGACAGTAGCTGGAGGCAAGATCTGGGTTTGGCCTATAGTGACCGAGAAGGGCGGGGTGTGTGGCGGGGAGCAGTTTGCATTTGGAAGCTTCCCGGTCCAAGGAGAAGCTCTCAGACCTGGCCATGCTGCCCCTGAGATGCACAGTGGTTGGTTGTGGCTGCCAGGGGAATGTAAATGGGTCAAGTGTGAACAAAGGTGGGGCAGGACCAAATATTAATTTGAATTCAGTGATAGGATTATGATGAGCTTTAAAGATTTCTAAGGTGCTAATCTAATGCTCTTCCTTACATCCTATGGACCAAATGCCAATAGTTCCAGGCAGCTACTTTGCAAGGCAGCGTTTGGAATGTTTGCTTATTTACCACTTAATTCAAATTCTATGAAATCATCCACTGAGCTAAGTGTGACTCATTACCATGAGCCTGCAGGGACGTTTTAGTGTGCACACAGCAAGCAGAGGAAGACAATGCCCATCACAGGGGGCCACAGGCAGGTGCAGAGGGGGAGGGCTCTTCAAAGGCAGCCTCAGAAACAATGACAGGTCCACAAAGGAGAATGCCACTGGGGCCGGCTTGCATGCTCCATCAAGATAAGTGGCGCTGGATTACTGACAATAGGGATTCACGTTTCATAGGGGGGAAAAGTGTCTATCCTCTCTGAAGATTTCAGGTACATGAGCAACCAGAATGTTTTAAGGATTTGGAGGATGCACATGATGCAGGGACAACAATCAACTTACAGGGCTAGGACTAAAGAAAGTCAGCCTACAGCAGATTCTCCCTAGAATACAGTCAGAAAGGTCAAATAGTAGATTTTTGTGTAATGTCTGTACAGTATGCATCTTTTCAAAAAAGCACCCAATGTCATGGAAATAAGCAATTATCAGGAATTTGATCTATAATGACACTTTAAGGTTATATCATATACATGCATATGCTGGCTTCCTTTACTGCCTTGGTATTGTAGTTTGATAAATAATTCAAGGACTTCAGAATTTTAGGGTTTTTTACTGGTAAGAACTGGGGCTGAGAGCTTAAGTGACTAGATCAGGATCCCAGTGCTAAACTGGGGGCTGTTGGGGCTTGGGGCTCATGGTACAGGGAGTCTCAAAATGGGGCCAACACAATCACTGAAGAGAGACTAAGTTACATGAAGTACGATTTTCATTTGTAAAAACATTTTAATATAACTTAATTTTTTGAAAACCAGAAAAAAAATATATAAACCGTTCTCAAATAGATCACGGATAAAAAACTGACTGTAAGCCCACCTCCTTCTCCAAGACCATTTTGGATAACTGAAGTTTTCCAACTATTTCCAGAGAATTCGACAGTTTCAGTAAATAAGAAAGGCATTCTTGCGGCCCATCTAGAGAAGAAAGAGCCTTATGTTTGGCACATGACTACCAGGGACTAGGCACTGCTCTGAGAACTTTTGTATTTATCATCTCACCTAATGGTCACAGCCACCTGACTGGTTAAGCAGCCACCATCAGTGCAGATGAGGAAAATCCAGCTCAGGATCCCGGCCACACCACAGCTGCCATTCCTTGGCCTTCCCACGTTGCTTGGTACATAATGCTCTGCGCCCCATCCCAGCCCCAGCTACGCATCTGCAAGTGATCTGTCCTTTTGCTTCTTGTGTTGGGATCTCTCTGTCTACTTGCCAGTGAGGAAAGGTAATGGAGCATTCTACAGCAAGGACATAATAACGGTACTCATGTGAAAATGCTGAGTACTTACAGTCCTCATTTTTGTCAACTGGCTGCTGTCCTGCTCAGCAGGGCTAACAGTAGGTGTTGCCTAACAAGGGACGGCGTCTGATGACCCCTTTCACTCCCCCTACCTTGTCTGCCTATTTGCTTTTTATGCTGAATTTGGGTGTTTTTCTGTGGAGCAGGTGCTGACCCCATCACTTCCTACTGTCTTTATACAACCTGCTTTACTCATTATTTGCCGGGCCTCTGATGGTGTCTGGGTGGTAACCCCTGGGATTTAATGCTAGTTGTAATCATTAGCACCTCACATTTGGGGATAGGGTCTTCAGTTTCTCCTAAGATTTCTATGAAGGGCTGCTCAGTGGAATGCTGCACAACCCAGGTCTATTCGTAAAATCTATCGATGTGAGCTGTACTCCTAGGAGTTGTGCAGTACGTAGCTTGCACAACTGTTGGTGGTACATAGGAATGAGTCTGCCCTGAATGCAAAGTGTCATCCTTAGTTCTATGAATATGAAGGGAAGTCAGGTGGGAGGACTGCTTGAGGCCAGGAGTTCAAGACCAGCCTGGGTAATAGTGAGACCCCCTGTCTACAAAAAAAAAAAAAATTAGCTGGGCATGGTGATGCATGCCTGTTGTCCCAGCTACTTGGGAGTCTGAAGCAGGAGGATCACTGGAGTCTAGGAGTTTGAGATTGCATGAGTTATGATCATGCCACTGTACTCTAGCCTGGGCAACAGAGCAAGATCCTGTCTCAAAAAAAAAGGAAGAAAGAAAAGAAAGAAACAAAAGAAAGAACGAAAGAATATGAAGGGAAATCAGGATGTTGGAAGAAGAGGAATTGTATATATAATTCAAATGGTGACCAGTTTCATAGTTTGCTATTGTGAAGCCCATCTTTTGAATTCCTGTAGCTCAAACTACCCAATCAAACGTCATCTCTGGACAGAGCAGGTCCAGCTACTGGTATATCCCCAAAGTACCAAAATGACTGGACTCAGTGAAGTAATTAAGAAACCAGAGTGTTTTCAACAACGGTGAGAAAAACAAGTTTACACTTCTTAGAATCTTACTATATTAATGGTGAACATAACTAGTTGCATTTATGTTTCCCCCAAGCAAGAAAGGTGCTGTGAATGCTTTCATTCTCTTACTCTCAAGGGAAATTTGCAATCCTTAAACCATCTGAAAGAGAGATCACAGCAGTGATTTAGATCCCACGCCAAGGACCATACTAAACTTAGGCTGAACTACTCAAAACCCGAAGTGTAAGTGAAGTAGAAACTACAAGATACTAAGCCACAGGTGAGGTTCAGTTCCCTTAATGAAAGATGCTCTGTTCCTATTCCATGCCTCTGAGACTTTTAAGTGTACCAAACAGAAACCTGGCCATGCCACAAACCTAACACGTGGGTGACTTGGATATCAGCCCCTGAGTGGGGATGTATACAACGGTGCACCTTCTAGCTCCTGCTCAGCTAGCTTTTTATAAGTCAGTGAATGTCTATTAACCACCACACAAACAAACCAAATTACTGTACCTCCTCAGGCAAGCTGACCACCAAGTCATTTTTTGTCTGTCCGACCAGCGCCTGCCAGAAGTATTCACTGCACGCGGCCAGCACAGCCCGGTGGGCCCGGAACTCCTTCCTCTCCACGATCAAAGTCACGTCACAGAGAATGTCCTTTTTCCGCTGGTCATTGAGGCCCAGGAGGATGTTGGTGCAGTGGACTGTGGACTCATACACATACATGGGGGAGTCAGGCTTCTCATCCACAGACATGCCGTTCACACCCTGAACGAAAGAAAGAAAGAAAGGCTGAGTCAGTGGGGCTGTAGAGTCAGAAAGGGAAGGTGAGAAAGAACATCATGGTTCATGTGTCACACTGCCATGAGCCCGCAGAAGGGAGCAGGACTGCCACTCGGCACACTCATGCTCGGTTAGCACAATGAGCTCAGAAAACGTAGCTGGAAAGTCAAGTTCTATAGCTGACTTTTATCCTTTCCACTTACTGTATTCTTTCACTCCATGGTAACAAAGCCAGCTCCTTTAATGGAACACTTAAAACAATCAAAACACATACGTACTTTAAAACTTCGTAGTTTTGATTTTGTTAGAAGGCTGAAAAGGAACTTTCACATATAAATAGTCTCAATGCAAGTACTAATTGAGATTCGTGTAAAGAGGAAATGAATCATTTTGAAGTATTTGTAAACCTGTCTTAATGAAGTACATGTAAGCTCCTAAGTTGAAATTTGGCTAAGATGCCAAGTAGAGTACATATCTAATCACAATGCATAATTTAACAAGTGAACCAAACTGTATGCACACTAAAGAGCAGATACAGCCAGCTATTGCATCTGCCCTCTGCCACTTCAAGACAAAGCACAACCAACAGGCTCTTAGAAAGATGTGGAAGTGTGCTGTCATTATCCTAGCAGACCTGATGTATATCCTCTTTAAGGAAACACAATATATCACAATGGGAGTCATGATAAAAGATGTGCTCAACCATGAAAATTTCTTTCACAAAAGGGTTTTACGCTTTAAAAAGTATTCATTGAGGTATTTTAAAATATAGTACCTATAATTAATTTACATAACATATTTTTTTCCCATAATGTTTACTGCTAGTATGAATTCCAGTAATCTTATTTTCTTTTTTGGCTTTATTCTTACTTTTTAAAACAGCTTTTACATACAATAAACTGCATATATTCACAGTGTGCAATTTGATGTTTTGACATATGCATGCAACTGTGAAACCATCATCACAAGCAAGACAGTAAATACATCCATCAGTACCAAAAGTCTCCTTAAGCCCCTTAATAGTACCTCCCTGTGCCTCCCCCCAACTCCCAGGACCATGGATCAGCTTTCTGACACTATATATTATTAAATAGTTTGCATTTCCTAGAGTTTTATACAAATGGAACCATACGTTATATATTCCTTTTTGTCTGGCTTCTTTTACTCAGCATAATTATTTTATCATACATCCATGTTACTGTGTGCTTCAAAAGTTTGTTCCTTTATTGCTGAGTAGCATTCTATTGTATGGATATAGCTCACTTTTTTACCCATTAATCTACTGATGGATATTTGGGTTATTTCCCGTTTTTGGCTATTACAAATAAAGCTATGAACATTAGTGTACAAGACTTTGTATGTACATATACTTTCATTTCTCTTAAGTAAATAACTATGAGTAGAATGGATGGATCATATGGTATGTTTAAACTTTTTAAAAAGCTGCCACTATTTTCTAAGGTGGTTGTACCATTTTACATTTCTACCAGCAGTGTATGAGAAGTTCTTTCACATCCTTGCCAACATTTGATATGATCAGTCTAATTTTGGACATTCTAATAAACACACTGTAATATCTCTTTGTGGTTTTAAAATTGCTTTCTCTAGTGACTAAAGTTGTTGAGAATCTTTTATGTGCTTATTTACCATCTGTGTACCTTCTTTGGGGAAATGTCTATTTAGAGTCTTTGCCCATTTTTAATTGAGTTGTTTCCTCATTATTGAGTTTTGAGAGTTCTCTGTATATTCTGACTAAAAGTCCTTTATCAGACATGTGATTTGTAAATATTTTTCCCTAGTCTGTAGTTGTCCTTTTATTCTCTTAATAGTATCTTTCAAAGAGCAGAAAGTTTTAACTTGATGAAGTTCAATTTATCATTTTTTTTCTTTTATGGATCACGTTTTTGGTATCCTACCTAAAAAACTCTTTGCTTAAACAAGGTCTCCTGTTTCCTACTAAAAGATTTATTTTGTTAGTTCTTAACGTTTAGGTCTATGACCTATTTTCAGTTAATTTTATCTATGTTACAAGGTATGAATTGTGGTTCTTTTTTCCTTTGGCATATGAATATCCAATTATTTCAGCACCATTGTTAAAAGGACTATCTTGGCTCTACTGAACTGCCTTTGCACTTTTATTGAAAAGCAATGTTTATATATGTGTGGATCCATTTATAGACTTTGCTTTTTCCATTTTGCTATTTGACAATCTTTATGCCATGTTCACAATGTTTTTTTTTTTTTTTTTTTGAGACAGAGTCTCACTCTGTTGCCTGGTGTAGAGTGCTGTGGCATCAGCCTAGCTCACAGCAACCTCAAACTCCTGGGCTCAAGCAATCCTCCTGCCTCAACTTCCCGAGTAGCTGGGACTATAGGCATGTGCCGTCATGCCCAGCTAATTTTTTCTATATATTTTTAGTTGGCCAATTAATTTCTTTCTATTTATAGAAACGGGGTCTTGCTCTTGCTCAGGCTGGTTTTGAACTCCTGACCTTGAATGATCCGCCTGCCTCAGCCTCCCAGAGTGCTAGGATTACAGGCATGAGCTACTGCGCCTGGCCCATTCACAATGTTTTGATTTGCTCCTTTTCAGTTATTTTGATCCTTTGTATTTCCATATGTATTTTAAAATTAGATTGCCAATTTCCACAAAATAGTACATTGGGATTTTTACTGGGATTGTACTAAATCTACCGATCAATTTAGGAAGAACTATCACCTTAACAATAATGAATCTTCTGACTCATGAACACAAAATCTTTATTTATTTAGGTCATCTTTAATTTTTCCCAGCAATGTTTTATAGTAGTCTATAGGTCTTGTACATCTTTTTTCAGATTTATACCTAAGTATTAATATTTTTGATGCTATTGTAAATGGTATTGTTTTGGGATTTAAATACTGCAATGTATTTTTAAGGACTCTGTATATGATATTTCCAGTGGCAGATTTGTAAGATTTTTGACGCAAACTGTGTTGTTGTAGCAGAGGACTGACAGGCAGGTAGACATCAGGTTCCTCACTGGGGTGTGACTGCCACACTTGCTTGGGAGAAAATGGAGCCCTGTCAACCAGAGAGGGGACCCGATCTTGGATCTAAGACATGGCCTCCACCAAGTCCTGCATCAAAAAACATGGAACACTTCATGAATTTGTATGTTATTCTCGTGCAAGCGCCATGCTAATTTTCTCTGTATCGTTCCAATTTTAGTATATGTGCTGCTGAAGTGAGTATGGTATTGTTTTTTAATTTCCATTTCTGAATTTTCATTCCTAGTATATAATTTTAAACGATTTTTTTTGTATTAATCTTGTATTTGAAAACCTTGTTTAACTTGCTTATTAGTTGTCAGAGCCTTTTTTGTTTTTGGATAGATTCCATAGAATTTTCTACATAGGAGATTATGTTGTCTATGAATAAAGATATTTTGCTTCCTTTCAAATAAGGATGATTTTAATGTCTTTTTCTTGCCTTACTGCATTGGCTAGAACCTTCATTACAATGTTGAACATAGGTGGTGAGAGCAAACATCCTTGCCTTCCTGATGTTAGGAAGAAAACATTTAGCCTTTCACTATTGTGTATGATATTAGCCAGAGATATTTCACAGATGCTCCTATTGAGTTGAGTAAGTTTCTTTCTATTCCTAGTTTGTTGGGAGTTATTTTTAAAAAATCTGGAATGGATGTTGGATTTTGTCAAATGGTTTTTTGGTTTTTTTTGCATCTATTCAGATAATCGTGCAGTTTTTCATTTTAGTTTGTTAATGTGGTAAATAACATTGATTTTGGAATGTTGCATTTCTAGAATAAACTCAATTTGGTCATGATATATTTGCCTTGTTACACATTGTTGTATTCAATTTACTAACATTTTGTTAAGAAATTTTGCATTTATGTTCATAAGGGATGCCTATAGTTTTCTTATAATTTGGGGGGGTATTGTTTTAGAATAAGAGTAATGATGTTCTCACAAAATGAGTTGGAAAGTATTTTTTTCTCTTCAATTTCCTAGAAGATTTTTTTTTTGTAGAATTGGTATATTATCTCTTCCTTATATATTGGTTGAATTTACCTGTGAAGCCTTCTGAGCCTGGGGTTTTCTTTGACTATATATTCAATTTAAAAACTGTCAAATCTACTGGCATAAAATTATACATAATATTTAACAGTTTTCCTTCTAATATCAGTAGAATCTGTACTGGTGTCACCTCTCACATTCCTGATATTAGAAATTTGTGCTTCTCTCTTTTTTATCCTGGTTAGTATGGCTATAGGTTCAACAATTTTATTGATATTCTCAAAGAACTAGTTTTTGGCTAAGTTGATTTTCTTTACTGTTCTGTTGTATTGCACTGATTTATGTTCTCAGCATTATATCCTTTATTCTGCTTACTTTGGGCTTAATTTGCTCTTTTCCCCCCCTAGTTTCCTAAGGTGAAAGTTGAGCTCATTAATCTGAGATCTTTTGTCTTTTCTAATATAGGCACTAATGTTATAAATTTCACTCTAAGTACTAATTTAACAGTATATCACAAATTTTGAAATATTGAATTTTAATTTTCACTCAACTCTTTGGAGTTCTTCCCTGATACATAAGTTATTTATAAATGTGTTATTTAGTTTTTAAATATTTGGGGGAGTTTTCAGTTATTTTTTTGTTATTGTTCTCTGAATGAATTCCATTGTGGTCAGAGAATAAACTTCATGACTTTAATTCTTTTAGATTCGTGGAGACTTGTTTCATGTTCCAGAATATGATCTTAGTAAATATTCCATATGCACTTTAAAAGAATATATATTCTGTTGGCTGGAGTGTTCTGTAAATGTCAATAAGTTTAAAGTGTATGATGTGTGTTGTTCAAGTCTTCTATGTCTTTTCTGATTGTCTGTCTAGAGGTTCTACCATCTATTGAGACACTAAAGTCTCTGACTACAATTATAGATCTGTCAGTTATTGTAATTCTATCCATTTTTGCTTTATGC